ATAACGCAATATAAAGATATTAAATAAAGATAAATATAAAATGGCTAAGTCCTGTGATTAGTTGTTTGATTCTGTTTGTAATAAATTAGAAAATATAGTGAGAAATGCCCTCACAATTACCCAGAGCCCAAAGTGATACCTTCACAAGACCCCAAAACCTCAAAATTATTCAATGTAAATTAAAATAATAGGAAATAATAAAGGAATAGCAGCAAATCCTCACATTTAGTAAGCTGGAACCATGAAATGTTTGACATTTTTAAAATTAATTAAATGTTTATCACGATAGTTGCCAATGGATTTATTGACTAATCCTTTAAATTCTAGCAACTAAAAGTGATCCAAAGAAGTGAGTTTAAAGTGACCATATATTACTTTAGATCATAATAACATGTATTATTTTAAGATTTACGATGTGATACGCTGTAAGGTGAAGTCCAAAGTAAATTAAATCATATTTTTACTCTTTTAAAGCACCATCACTGTCAATCTCTCTCTCTTTCTCTGCCCTGATTTGAACTACACTGTTTGTGCAACACCTGCTTCATAGACTTTTATGTGAATTACCCAGAAAACCCCTGACCTGTTTAGGAGTAAAAACTGAAATGACTGTCATATCTGGGCCACGCTGACTCTCTGTCTGGGCAGCTATTTCACTCGAGGCGCAAACAGTCTGAAGGTTTCACTCATTTTTCTTGCGCTTCAACTGTTACTGAAGTATCTGACAAGTTCAAACCTGATACTTTGGATAAAACTAACATCTAACTTCCTGCAGTAAAGGGCTGGGTTCTGTCAGAAAATTCCTCTGAAATTGCACCAGAGCTTTTCTTGGCATGTTTGAAATACTCGTGTCCTTACATCATTAGCCTATTTTTCTTCGCTCTCCTTTTGAGCTGCCCTCTGTGTAATTAACCAATCCGTCAGTCAGTCACCATGTCAGTGATGGCATGATAACAATGTGTGTGTGTGGGTGTGAGGGTGTATACTGGGAGCAGGGGCAGGGCCAAAGAGGTGGCCAAAGGGATGGTACTGGCCTCTCCTGGAACCTGATCCCCCATACCAGAGTCAGAAGATGATAGGTAGGTGACTTGTTATTTTTATTTTTATTTTTTTTAAGTTATTTTTTTGGCCTTTTCGTGCTTTACTTGGATACGAGCACACGCTGAAAATGACGAAAGGTGGGTAGAGAGAGGGGATGACACACAGCAAAGGGCCACAGGTCAGATTTGAACCCGGGCCGCTGCAGCAACTCTGTATATGGGTCACCAGCTCTACCGACTGAGCTAACCGGGCACCCAGGTGACTTGTTATGTCAGAACCACTGTGTGAAGTGATCAAACAACCACAAAGAGACTGAAAATTACCACAAAAAAATGCATAATGTTCAAAATCAGATGCCAAATAACCACAAAGAGACAAAAAACGACCACAAACAGAAGAAAAAGGAGCAGAAAGAGATGTTAAACAACTGCAAAGACACAGATAACGACCACCAAGACACAAAAAAATGATCACAATGATCAGTAAGAGACGCAAATTATCTCAAAAGACACAAAACAATCACAGCGAGACACAAAATTACCACAAAGAGATGGAAAATCACCACCAAGATACTAAAACAATCACAACAAGATAAAAAGTGATCAGCAAGAGACAAACCTTATCTCAAATACACACAAAACTACCACAAAGAGGTAGAAAATAGCCACAAAGAGACTGAAAATGACCACAAAAAGATGCAAATGGTTAAAATGAGATGCCAAATGATCATAAAGAGACACAGATTGACCACAAAGAGACAGAAAACAACCACCAAGAGAAGAAGAAATGATCACAATGATCAGCAAGAGACGCAAATTATCTCAAAAAGACACAAAACAATCACAAAATTACACAAAGAGACACAAATTAACCACAGATACAAAAAACGATTACCAAGAGACTAAAAATGACTACAAAGAGACAAAAGAACGACCCCACTAAGACACAAAACAACTACAGTGAGATATATAAAAAGAGTCTAGGTATTGTCTTACAATCTGTCCATGTCTGTAGGCTAAAATAGAAGCTATTTATTTAATTATTACTTCTTAAAGTTATTTATTTGGCATTAACTTATTACACTGAGAATAATGTAGCCTGTAGTTTATTATTGACAAAAACCAGCTGCTTTAAATTTTCACAGATTTTTACAAACGGGCCCTCTTTCTGTTGGAGGAAGACGGCTTTGTTGAAGAGTGCAGTCGGATCATTCCAGTCTGATGCCAAACGGCCCTTTGAAGTCTGCACACAGCTGAGAGCTGCCCGGTGGAGCCGAGAGACAGAAGTTAACACTGAATGGGCCTGTGGAGTGGATGAACTGCAGGAAGTGTAAAGCATGGGACTCACAAATCTCCCCAACTGTGTGCAAGAGTCCACTGTTTGACAACGCTAGCGGCATGACTCTGGGGGGGGATGGCGATGTTGGACCGGATTGAGAAATATCTCGACAACTAACGGACGGATTGCCGTGAAATTTGACAAAGACCTTCATGTCTTCCTCAGGATGAATTGTAGTAACTTTGGTGGTCCTCTGACTTTTCCTTTAGCGCCACCATCAGGCCAAATGCCTGAAAAACTGATGTAATTCCAATCAGCCTCAGAAGGACTTTTTGTGTGGAAACAGATTATATGGAACATTTTAAGTAACACAAACTCAATATTCTTGTTTAAGGAGCTTTTACGAGTCATTTTAAGTGACACTAACTTAGTTTTACAGTAAGTTCCAGAAATATATCTGAGATTTGTTTTCACATAACAAATAAAAATGAGAAAATGAAGCCAGTGTCACTTAAAATCCCTAAAGCTACTAGATCAATAATGTTTTTTAACTTAAAAAATGTTCTTTACCTAAAACTTTTCATGTAAACAGTTTCAACAGTTTTTTGAGTTAAATTAACTTCCTCTAAGGGATAGAAAGCAACCTTGTTTATGCTTTTCTTTGCCAGCCATAAGCTAAGAACATCGATACCACAGTCACGTCTGTACGCTGTAACGCTACAGCCAGCAGGTGGTTACTTTAGCTTAGCATAATGACTGGAAACAGGGGGACGCTGTAAAAAGAGTTTAGGTCTCTGAGAAAGTGCAGTTTTCTCCTTCTCCGATGACTGACCCAGGACAGACAGAACAAAGTGAACAGGTGAGATAGTTTCATTTGGCTCACTGCTTATTGCACACGGGTCAGATGCACAGAAAGCAGGTCATGGTCCGATTACACAGCAGACAGAGAAGCCAAAGCCATGCTGTGTTCAGTGGAGCTTGACCCAAAATGGGCCCGGAGCGGAAAGAACAGTTTTCCAACATCGGTTTTCCTTCCACGGATGCTTCTTCTTTTCTTTTTGGTACCATTACTGAGCACAGGGGGGCACACTGCAGCATGCACTCATTGTCTCATACTGTTCATTGCATAGGGGGAAGTTTATCACCACCACAAACCGTCATTTTTAAAGCACAAAACCGCTTCAGTGTTCATTTGTCATATGCGAATGCCTCCAACCCGTCCCTCTTTTCCTTTTATGGGCCATTAAGCAGTCATTGTTGGGAGTAGACGACCATGTGGAAAGCAGAACTGGAATTAAAAAGCTTGAAAGTTATTGGCTTGCATAATTCGCTGGTGGTCAACAAAAGCCGCTGACCGGTTCAGCCGAGCAACCAATCGGTGTAATGTGAAGTGCGTCAGCAGCTCATCCAGCATCACTTTGTGTGTGCGCTTTCTCCATCCAAAGCCAATTAGTCAGAAATGTGGATATGAGCACTCATTTACGCCCCATATCAGCTTTTCATCAGACTCCACGTGGTCTGTA